AGAGTACGAGATGGAGAGTTGAAGAGAAGAAAAGAGCTCTATTTTTTCAAGAAAAAATAGGTTATATCTTGATCGAAGTAAAATGGTAGAAGGAAATCAAACGCTGAAGAGAGAGAGTGAGAGAGTGAGCATTGGCATTGGTTGTCGGAAACCATGGCAGCCAGGCCCACTGTGATTGCAGCATAGGAAGTGGAGACAACCATCTATCTGAAAATGTCACCGGAAGCTTGGATGTTTGCTATTGGGGCATAGGAGGTGGAGAAGACAGACAACGAACTCTTTTAAAAAGCAAGCCCGATACTCTTTCCCTTTATTTTCTCACCGGGGTCGCACTGTTTTTGTGCGATATCAAATCCCAGTTTTTGAGAAAGTACGTGCCCCCTATTTTCCCATCCCATTTTCGTGTCTCATAAAACAAACATGGGAAAGTGGAATATTTTAGGAATATTCCATCTTTTCCACCTCTTTCTAGCAATCAAACAGAGCCTAAGGGAAAATTCCCGAGGTGCGGTGAAGACGGTCAGACGTTCATTTTCTTGAGAAAGCCATATGTTCATTCCTCGGTTGGTGGATGGAGGATTCACCTCCATCAAGAGTTTTGTGTTCCCGGAATTCGATCTTCATTTTCTTGAGAAAGAAAATGATGAGTAGTGTGTTTGGGCTTTGTTTCATTTTCTTGAGAAAGAAGATGATGAACAGTGTCCAAGGGTAATTTTGATATTTTTAAAAGTCTTAAATCACACATAAGGTCACGTGATATATATAATTGACGGTCCATTAACGATAGGTACTAGATTGTAGCATTTTGAAAGTTCGGGTACTACATTGTCACGTTTTAAAGTTTGGCTTACTAAATTGGTACTCAGCCTAAAGTATAGGGTGTCGTCTAGTTCGAGCTTGATTCGAATTAGAGACTTGAACTCAAGCTCGACTACCTTTGATTGTAGGTCTCTTAGCAGTCGAGATGCCGAGTTGAGGTCTCCCTCAGTTGGAGAGAGTGGCATTCTTGTAATTTATAAGGAGAGAGACAGAGATGGCAAGAGAGAGAAAGGCATTATTGTAATTTATAAGGAGAGAGAGAGAGAGAGAGTTGAGAACATCTAAATCTATGGAGAGGGAATGGTCAAAGCAAAGAGAGATGGACCCCACCACATTCTGTATGGAGTTCAGGTGGAGTTGGTCTAGGGTGATGTTAAAGTGTACCAACACCTCAACAATCAAAGCGTGAAGAGGAAGTCGGAGCCCGACTATCAGTTGCTCCCTGAAGATCACAATCTCGTCAGGACCGTGCTCCCATGAGAAGTTTCCGGTGGGAAGGCTATATGAGTATTCCTTAGGGAGGCGGAACCTCTGTATGAGGTCCTGAAGCCTCTCTAAAGTCATTATAGAAGGGCTGAACTGATCTGGCTCCCGATCCCGGTGGGAGGTGGACGCCAGATGACCCAAAGCCACCCGTACTTTGGATGGCTGAGCAATAGAGGAGCCACCCCGAGCCGAGGTACCCACCTCGGGCTCGTCGATAAGGTTGTCTACGCTAGATGACATAGCGAACTAAAGCGAAGAAACAAATTGAAAAGGGGAAGGAAGCTCGGGAGGACTACCAAAAGAAACGCAACCGGATTGGGAGAACAGGACGAATTGGAAGACCCAAGCTAAGAGACCTCCGAGGTGAGCTCAAACACTATCGACGAGAGCTTTGTGGCGAAGAAAATGGCCAAGGGTCCCCCTAGTTATAGCCACAGCTGCGGGTTCCTCGAGGCGAAAACGGTTGAGCGCGTTTTTGACGTTCGCGAAGTCTGAATCGCGTGAGATCCGCACGTAATCTAGACGCGACTCGAGTCTTTTTTTGGTCAAACCGGGTGCTAAACCGGTCTAGCTGGACGGAGCGCGCGACAAAGCAGCATGAAGACCAACGCCAAATCCACCCGGCGTGTCATGACCTCCTCACGCTGGGTCATCGCCGCCAGCGCAGGGAGTGGGGGGCAATTGATGGAGGGTGATTTGGCCCGATCTCGCAGTACGGGTACACGTGGGCGTGACCTTGCTCAAACAGTGACTTAGCATGACAGCGCAACGGACGTGACCACAACTCGGAGGGAAGGTCCCACCGAGTTCATCTCGGCAACTGGGTGGATGAACCACTCGCCGGAAGCTGCCTCACTCGCATCTCCTCTCCGGGGTTGAGGCACTTCGGGGCGCCCTGACCTCTCTTGAGGCCTGAGCTCCTCCCAATGGACCTCGGGCCACTCCCAGACAGGAGCACGCCGATCCATCTCTAGACACCCCGAGGCATGGACACCTCGGGTCAACCAGCTCGGCATAATTTGCTACGGGCATCTCGTCACTCAAGAGACAGTCCGGCTCAGGGTAATTCGCGGAAGGGTAGCTCGGCATACCGCAGGAAGGCTTCCTACTCGACTGTCGTGCTCGACAAATCTGTGGACAGTAGACATGTCCCTCGTCAGAAAGTGTCGCGCTTGTCACCTTCAGAAAGGTGTCTCTTACCTGACAGGCACGTACCCTGCAACGACGGCTCCGCGCGTGCCACCTCAGCCTTGCCAGTAACGGCTATGGCAGACTGACAGTGGCGGTTATACCTGCCCTGTCAGAAGCAGAGGGCCTAAAGCAACGAAATTCAGTTATAAGGGGCTTATTCTCAAGGAACAAGGTATCTTCGAACCACTTGCACAATCTTCACTTTTAGCCTTCGTTTTCCCTTCGCTTCTTGCACAAAGTACTAACTTAATCATCGGAGTGTTCCCGCTAGGCAAACCCCCGGGAGAACTTCTTCTTCCCTCTCGTCCCAGGTACCTCTCAGGAGCCACGCGAGTGCCAGATAGGAGTGACCGGATCGCGCTACAATGTATAAATATCTTTTTGATATGTAATATGTATTATTTTATATTTAATTTATGTTTTTTAATTTATAAAAAATACTAAAAATTGCAATTTGAGGCCAAAAAGGGTTTTTCTTTTCGCGAAAATAGTGGGGCAAGGCACTGTGGTTCCTTGGGATGCATAGATATCAAAAAGTTACAAAAAATTACCCCAATTGGACATTGGATTGCAAAGTTATGGCCTCTGAAAGTTTTGCACGCATTAAGTGTGCAACCCCGCGACCTGGTCACTAGGTTGAACGAGTCAATAGTTGAACCGACCGGGTTGAACAGTTCTTGAACAAATCAACATTTTTTATTGTCTAACGGGTCTTGACTAAACTGGACCCAAAATCCTAATCGAGTGACGTTTTAAGCGGTTCGACTAGCCGGGTCAACGGAGGGTTGAAAACATTGTCACTTGCAATTGAACAACAAAAAGCATTGTATAACAATTTTCTGAAGATCCATTGTTACAAATATTTGTTTTTTTTTTTTTTCTGTCTTCTATATTCACCATTCATGTTCTAAATTCACTATAAGGATCGCTGGAATGCTTCACCATTGTCTCTTTCCCTTGGGAGACCAGACCAGATTTAGTCCTCACAAAACGGTGTTCACATTGTGTTCATAGTCTTTTGCAGCCCTGTGCATTGGGAACATCTCCATATTTATATGTTTTAATTCATGGGGAGATATTTTCAATACATAGCTACAATTGTCTGTAAGCATGGTGTGAGAACTGAATCCAATTTCTTCCCTTGGTTGGAAACATACAATGCCTCTATTTTGTCATCCAGGACCGAACTGCACGCAAAATCTCTGCACACATGGCATCCAATCATACATTGGGAATATCTTTCATACATGTACATGAAATTCATAAGAAAATAGTGCTCAATGTACGATTAGACGCACTTGCTTTCAGAGTGTGTGCAGAATTTTTGCTTGTGGAGGATCTTTATCGTCTTACTTTTCTCTTTTGGAAGGCTCTTTTGGTTTCAATTTCTCTTAATAAAAACACTACTTAAATTGTTCTTTTGCTTCAATTTTAATTTCCTCCCTCATTCTATTAGGGCTCCGTTCGCTTTTCGGTAAGTTATTTACCCGGGTAAATGCATTTACCAGGTAAGTGTTTCCCATGAAAGATTTACTCGGGTAAGTGCATTTATGCATGTTCTTTTATTTCTCTTGTAAATAAGGCAATGACCATTTTAGCCATAAAAATCTAATATTAAAAGGGGCATTTTTGTTCCATTCAAGTATTGTCAACTTTTCCCACAAGTGAGAAAATTATTTACCCACCTAGGAGATGGTACCCAAGAAAATAAACTTTCCTTGGTCCCCCCATATATCTGAAAAAAGAACATGGGCTTCTTGGTCTATGAGATTTTGAATCCCATTGACCAAATTTCCTCCCTCTCAAAATGCAGAAAAAAAAAATCCCCTAAATAGCAGCTTTTCACAGAGACTGAATCAATGCCCCACAAGACTGCCCCTCACAACGTCCCACAGCACATCTCCACCGTATATTGGAAACATCTCCCGATGATGACATCATCATTCCTGATATTATCATTGGGAGATGTTCCCAATACACGGCCGGAGATGTACCGTGGGACGTTGTAGGGTGCTGATTTGAACTCCCTTTCACGGGCCCTATTAGTTTATATTCATAAAAAAAGAAGGAACCAACCAACCATAAGGTTTAAAAAAAAAAAAAACAATATAAAATAATATCCGGGCTGAGCCAAAGGCAAGGCCCAGCTAAACAACTCAAAGCTGAACCCAAGCTAAAATTTACAAACTTGGCCAACTCGCACGGGCCTATCGCCTATCGGGCCTGAATGCGGAAGGGCTTAATCCTAATTCCTAAATCCTAACGTAATGAACCAGGCCTAGATTTTTGTTTGGGCCAACCCTCCCCTTCTCTTGGTTTGGGTCTTATTCCGCTGACGTTGGATTGGAATCCACATAACACCTATACTCCATCATAGAATGGAAATGATTCCTCTTTGATACCAATTCAACGGTTAATGATGTGAAACGTGGAAATGAATCAATATTATTTTTTTGATAATAAACAATAATAAATTAATAATTGGATAAGGCGAAAATGACGAGGACTGTCGATCTCGCGGAAGGCAAGCCAAGGCCATGGCGGTTCTTCACGTTTCTCCTCTCTCTTCCAAAATCACTCCAAAGCTGTCTCCTTGTCTCAGACCTCATCGCTCTAATTCCAAACCGATTTTGTGTTTATGCTCTTCCGACTATCGTGCGCACCAGCAACATTTACCTGTAACCAATTTACCCACTCTGCCTTCTGCAATTCTTTCCAGTTATCTGTTCAAGTCTAACAATTCGGTTCGCTCATCTTAGTTTGTCACTCATTTTAACAGAGATTGGAGAAGATCGTAGCTCCAGTACATCACTTCTCATCTCTTGGTGAATCAATCGCTAGGGCAAGCTTGCTTGCTGTTCTATCTGCTTCTCTGTTCCTGGCTGATCCGGCGCTTGCATTCAAGGTAATTTCTCTTCTTTCTTGCTCTTTGGTTTTGGATTTGCAAAATATCAACAGAACAAGAAGGAAATCTAGTTCTGCATTTTTTTGGGCTAATAATCATTTTTGCGTTAAGGTCTTAGCTGTATCCTCTTTATTTCCCTCAAAGTTATGATTTTTTTTTTTTTTTTGATTCTGCATGTGTGTGTTCTTTTTCTTTGTTTTTCTCAATGTGGAAGGGAGGAGGTCCTTATGGGGCTGAAGTTACGAGGGGTCAGGATCTTACTGGAAAGGATTTTAGCGGAAAGACTTTGATCAAGCAGGACTTTAAAACGGTACAGACTCCGACGGAACATTTTATAGCTGGCACTAAGTTGTTGACTTGTTAATGACTCATTGGTTCCTTGTTTTCTTTATTCTAGTCGATATTAAGACAAGCCAATTTTAAAGGTGCAAACTTATTGGGTGCTAGCTTCTTTGATGCCGATTTAACAGGTTTCGTTTTCTCTTTACACTCTTATTATTTGTGCTACATTTAACTAGTTATGTACTTTCCGTGAATTTCCAACTCGTATATATTTTAGGGATCACTCAAAGCTTCTATTAACCGTTAAATGTGGATTCTTATATGTATACATAACCATATCTTCCATTTTGACCTAGAGAATCATAACATGTGCTTAAAGTCCTAATGCCTGAGCACTTCTCAGTTCTCACCTACAAACATAATGGTTTTAGTATGACAGAACCATCTTTCCTGATTGGTTAATTCATTGCACCACTAGCACCAACATTTCTATCAACTCAGACCCCACAAAAAGATGAAAAGATCAACATAAGGGCCTGTCCTTGCACCATGCATCTTTCCTGAGTATGATTTGATATATGGTATTTTACCAGCCATATATCAAAGATCTCAATTGAACACCTTCCCAAGAAAAAAAGGCAAGGTCCATTGCTTTACTTTTTAGAACATTTAAATGATATGTAAAATCTTGCTTATGTTTAAGCAATTTTGCTTCACTACTCTTGTTGTTTGTATTGTTGAGTTACTATTACATGTATCTATGCAACATAGTGTCTTAGATACTCAAACACAGATTACCATATAGGGGCTGATATAGCAGGAGATCTGAATGATTCTAATTGATTACTTTCTTATTATTGCTATGGTAGGCGTTGCTAACATTTTGCAATATTGTAGAAGTAGAATATCAGGTGACAAATAAGTGAGCTATACAATTATTGCTGCGTCATTGTTAAGAAAATACAATATGCATTTCTACAAAACAGTAAAGTGTATGAACTAGACTAAAGGAGGTTGACTTGGATTAGTTTTGGGTATATTATATAAAAACAACTAAACAAGAATAGATCCTAAAGAAATCCCACTTCCTCATGAATTTATCTTGAATCGGGACCTTTTGGCTCAACTTTATCCCAGCTTTGCCGAAGGAGCAACCCCATTTTTCTTATTATGACATAGTGGTTGATGTCGATAAGCTCAAACTTCTGTTATGGCAAAGCTCTCAATGGGTAAATACTATATCTGTGCAGGAGATCATACTGTAAGTTATTTCTTCAGGTGTTTCCATATATTGGAAAAATAGCCATCATTAAGTATTCTATTACTTTTTGGTTATTTCGTCCACACTCTATTACTTTTTGGTTATTTCGTCCACATGTATCATTGTTGGATTGAGTAATTTTCCACCCTGGACTTCTTCACCAACTCTTAACTACTCATTCTATTGTTTTCTATCTTAATCTAATTCATATTTTTGCACTTTTCTTTTGAGATATTATTCACCCGCTGTCCATATCTATCTTTCAGGGGCTGATCTTTCTGATGCTGATCTTAGAGGTGCAGATTTTTCCTTGGCAAATGTGACTAAGGTGATCTTGCTAATTCTAAGATCCGTGTCTTGTTTTGTTTCTAATACTTTCATTTATTTTCTTTTTCTGCATGTTCTATGGACTACAGTCTCTCATTTTGCACAGGTTCTTATTTGTATAAATCCCATACTACCAGAGATCTATAGCTTACCATATTGCCCATATAACAAAGCAGTTGATAAGTCTAAATAATGCATTCGATATTCAAGTTTTCATCCATTCTTTATACCCTTATATAATCATGAACCATGAAAACAAGTGTGAGAAATGTGGAAAAGCAAAAGGAAAAAAAATCCAAGCTTAATTTTATATCCTACTAAACAAACATGGTGATTAATATTTCAACTATAAAGGCATAAGTTCCCTGGTGCAAACTTATAATCTGTAGTTCCGAGTGTGACCCTGTACAATTGATTAAACACTTAGAAAGGTAATAGATTAACCTAGAGGTTTGGAAGTAAGATATGCAAGGTCACAGGACTAGACTGTTTAGTAGATTAGGTTAGTATTCTTATTCTGGCAATACAAGTGAAAAAACCTAAATAAAGAGATTGAGACCTTCTGAAATTGTTAAAATTCAAAAGTCCACCTAAGTTTAAAAGGTGGCTGTATTTAGGTGGTTTCTGAGACAACTCAAATATCTCTCATATGGGTGAGAATTTTAAGAGCAAATTGAATTACTCCCCCCCACCCCCCACCCCCCACCTTAATAAATAAATAAATAAGGAATTACTCCCCAGTCCCCATAAATTTCAAAGCTCCATAAGGAAGCTAGGATGACGGAACTCTGTATGCCCTGTGTGCTGCATGACAAAAGGTGGCACATTTGTCCCGTGATCTATACAAGATTGCAGTTTCCCCTGTTTCTTTTTATTCTTCAATGCTTGCATTAATTGTCCATCAGGACATAAAATTTATTTCCCAATCCAATCCTTTTTTTTTTGATAAAATCCAATCCTTTTTTTTGATAAGTATTCCCAATCCAATTCTTTGAGCAATTGGATTTTCACAAGTTTGGGTATCAAATACAACCTTAATGAATTTTCTCAAGGTCTAGATTAACAAGTCCTAACTATTCATCAAAAAAAAAAATAAAAAACAAGTCCTAACTGGACATCTTTTGTGGTGTGGATATGAGTCTATCTACTTAAGAATTGTCAGAATTCTCAACTCAAAATAAAACTAGGAAGACAAACAGTGAGCGAGCTGGCATCGTATGTTGTGTCATTAGGTTTTTCTTCAGATGAACTTAAGATGCCTCAATGTGTAAACATACATTAGCGTGTATATGGATGTAGGTATTATTTCCATGATTGGGAATCCATGACATGGTAAATGGTAGTGAACATACAAAAATAACCATACTACTGTCTTGATTTTGGTAGTCTTGAGTGTACTGCAACTGTGACAGAGTCTAGCTTTATTCAAGTGTTCCATGAAGTTTTTATTGAACCAATGAACCCATCATCCCAACAAAAGGTCCGATGCAACATATTTTCAATAAAAATGGGCATATTAGAAGTACAAAGTATCAATTTAAACTTTCTCATCAAATGGCTAGCAAGAGTTTTGGATTATCAACAAAATCAACTGCTTGAATATTTCAACATTAGGAGTTTGTACTGTGTCATCAAATGGCTAAAGGTCTCCTGCTGGTTGTAGTGGAGACTTGGGATCTAATCATGCATGCACCTGGGTGTGTGTGTGTGTGGGGGGGGGTTATTGGTTTGGGGTATGGGCTACCCCTTGTTGTGTAGCCCCTTGGAGCAGAAAAAGGGAGCGGGGGTAGTCAAATTGGGTATGATGTATATAACATTATCTAATGGATCAATAGAATTTGTCCAGGATACAATTATTCCCCCAAATTGGAAAATGGCATTATTAGCATTGAAAATCTACTTCTGGAGCTGTATCTACTATAATCCATGCTTTTATTTATGAAAGTATCACCTCTGTATTGGTGCTTATGCATGTTACTCTCTCACTGTTGCAGGCCAATTTGAGTAATGCAAACATGGAAGGTGCACTTGCTACAGGGAATACATCCTTCAGGGGTTCCATAATAACTGGAGCAGGTATCTAGTAGAAACACCAAATGGTGATTAGTGTCAAAGGTCTCAAAGTGTGTTATAATAAAAGATAATTTACTCAATTTTATAATTATTTGGTCAAGAAAGAGTACATTGTTATACAGAAGCACAGGGCCACTAAGTATATATAAACCCCAACTATAACCATTCAGATGATTTGTAGTTTATTGACTCTTGGTGGTCTGTGTATTATCTAGATGGTAAAATGTGGGAATGATGTTTACATGAAGTGAATATTCCTAAACATTGACCCAAAAGGAAAAAAAAATCTCCCTAGCCAAGTATCTGCCATTTCTCCACAGAGTTTTCAAGAGCATTTGAGGATTATGCCTTGAAGCTCACCTTAAGTTGAGACTTGAGAAATGCCTCAGGGTTTAATATTTGAGGCTCATAAACAGTAGGGATATTTGAAACCATCCAATCTCATCAAATTTTAGTTGGTCAAATGCCCTTGGTATGGCATATAAGCCCTGTCCCAACTATATTGGGTCAGCTATATGAATCCTGTTTTCCCATTCAATTATGTTTAGTGCCATATCCATTGTTTGCTGGCCTTACAACTATTTTATAGAATTTTCCTTTTAACCTAAGTGCCATATCCATGCTTTATGTGTTAATGTATTGAATTGGTGGTTGGTGCATCCTCAAGTTCTATTATATATGAATATATGATCATGATTTTGCCATTGTTTCATCTCAGGATTTGGTTGTTACAGAAGTACTGGTATTAATAACAATTAGTATTAAAACTACCTGGTCATTTAGTGTAATGAGATCTTTGAAGTGATTATCAATTTAACAAGCAGCATGGAGGAGCTTAGGTCTTGCCTTACTAGGCGTTTCAGTTAGTAGGCGTAATCCATAAAATGGTTACAAAGTGAGTAGCTAATTTTAAATATTCCATATGTGGTCAGACTTCACAGATGTTCCTTTGAGAGATGACCAAAGAGAGTACCTTTGCAAAGTTGCTGATGGGTAAGAAGCTTTGCGATACATTTTCAGCCTTGGTAATTCCATCCAGGAAATTATACCTCCATTAACAACTTACAATTTGGTATTTGTTCATCAGGGTGAATCCAACAACAGGAAATGCAACAAAAGACACGTTGCTTTGCAGGTAGTGTCTCAAGAAATCAACTTGTTGTATCAAAAGAAAAAGATGATCGCATCCATTATCAGTTTAATGTTTTTTTTGCCCATGTTGGTTGAGGAATTTTATTGCTTGTTACTACCATACTATATATGTAAATAAGTTGCTATTATAATTTCCATCTCCATTTTTTTAGAAAAAAAGAGAATCTATTTGATGGCCCATCTATCAGTTACCTCAACCACTCATTTGGTGGCCAAACTTATGGGAAAGATTGTCCCTTCACCAATTGAAACTTGTAACATTGAAGAGTGAAAATTTGACGAAGAATTAACAGTCTTGCGTCCTTTTGCCTGCTTGGACCTGATGATTCTGATTTTAATCTTCTAATATGAGCAAGTCTGACATGTTCTATTAGTGTTATTTCACCATAGGTTATCAAATTAGAGACCATTCAATTAGCGGACCACCTAATCTAGGAACCTAGAACTCAAAACCAAGCCATGTTAAACATCATAAAACTAGTGCCATCGTCTGATACTTAAATGGCAGTTTGACCTGAGAAGGCTTGGATGATGATGATGAAAGAGGATTGTATAGAGCATGTGCCGTGCACAAGGCCTGAAATTTAAATGAAGGTAGTATTTTGGTAATGTTGAATATGAGGGAGTGAAGAATTGGGACATAATCTTGATATAAACGAAGGGGAAAAGGTTTTAGTTTAGACTTTAGATGACAGCTCGACAACGGTGGTTAAAAATTAAAATATCATTATTGGCATGGATTCCATAGAACGGCTTCCCTTACTATTATGATTAATTCTGGAAATAAGACAGAACTGGGAAATAAGTGTAAGCCGCCAACCATGACATATGTATCTATATTGTTAGTTTCTTACCAGAAAAGTAATTAGCTTGCTAATTATCTGATTATGCCTTGTTACATGGATTTGCATGAATTATCTCATTTGTTAGAAGTCATGGAGATGGGTTGTATATATGTTAATTTGGTCAGCTGCCATTTACTTATGGGTCTTCAATCTTCATATTGGGTGGAGGGACCCCACTGGCTGTTTGGGGCCATGAGCAGCATTTCCTTGTTGGGTGAGAGATCGAAATCTTTTCCACAGTTGGTGGAGATCATACGCTAGCCGGACTGAAATCTTTCACTTTACTGCAATTCCTTTTTTTTTTAACATTTTCCTAATTCACAAGAGAAAGGGCAAGTCAGGGGTGATGAACAGAATTCTTTTTCCTCTTTTCCGTGGACGATCTCATGTGGGGACGATCCAAACATGGGAACCCTTCAATGTAGGATTGGGTTGTGAAGAGTACTGAAACATGAATTTCTCCTGTGCTACATAGCTCTCATAGAGAATCATTATCTTGGCATAGGTCTCGGGCCAATATACTTCCCATCAAACGGACCACCCACGCAATTCAAATTCAAATATTCTTTGCTCCAGTTTTTGGCTTCAATATAGAGAACAACCATTCAACCAGGGCCACCTACGCTAGGCTAAGAGGTTTAGTTTAGAATGAAACTAAAGTCATCTGTTTGATTCAAATTTTATTGCTCTTGGGCAGTTGGACCCTCGAACAAAAACTTGTATATAAAAATAAAGGATCCATGTGACCTTTCCTTGTATACAATGGCTTCTTTTATTTACTTATTTCTGTTTGTTTGTTTTTATGTTTCTTAAATATATAGTTCTATACGTGCCTAGGGGTGTCAATGGATTGGGTTTGGGATGGATTTCATCCGAAGCAAAATCAATTTGAACGGGTTGGATGGATTAATAAGACATATCGAAGTGGACCAGTCCAGACTTATTGGACCAAAGTATTTATTGGATTGGACCTGATTCATTTGTAATGGATTTATATTGGACCAGATCAGATTGTACCAATATTTGGTCCATGGACATAAAATAAGAATACGGTTATCAATGGATCAGGTTTGGGTTGGACCCAATCCAAATTAAAACCAATTTGAACAGTTTAGATGGTCCAAACATTGAATTGGACCAGTCCAGAATGGTCCAAAATATTCATCGGATTGTATTGGACCTGTTCCATCTGTAATGGATTCGTACTGGACTGGATCAGATTGGACCAATATTCAGTCCATTTGACAGCCCTATACGTGCCTCAATGCCTCTGGCTCATCTTGAAATAACGTAGTCCATTCTCTCTCTCTCTCTCTCTCTCTCTTACACGTGCACACTCAATTAGCATTAGGCAGTTTTCACTGCTTGGTCTATTCAACTTCTCAAGTAGAAGTCATGAGTCTCATAAGGCGTATTATTTTGTATGTATTTATACTCCTCCTAAACTAAACTGATCCTAAACAAAATTGAAATTATTCTCTTCCTGTAAATGCAGAAGTCCTCGCGCACTCTATAAGGCAAATTAGATTAGATAAAGATTTTGAAAATTCAAGTATTTCATAGGTGTCAATCATCAAACATTAAGGGGTGTTCTACAACATGAATTTTATGTTCTTTTTCACCAGTCGCCTGTTCCTCTGTTGCCACTTTTTCCTTTTTTTTTTTTTTTACTGCTACGAGGATTTCTGTATGGCCCCCTTTGTGCTATGCTTAAAGAAGGGTGATGTGATCATGTGACCACATGGAAAATTTGTTGGACCCCCAATTGTATAGTTGTGTTACAACGTTGGAGATTTTATACCGTTATCTGTTTAGACTTGCGTAAGGATAGAAGAAAACGGCAAATTTTACTACATATCGAGAATATGGAAGCATGAGCCTGTGGGCCTCGGTTCGGTTGGGTCCACGCCTCGAAACTGTTGAGCCCGCAAATCTCGTATAGAGGCAAGCCTGTAGCATGTGTGCTTGATGGGGGTCCTATTTGGGTTAGATTAATCTGACCAAAACCCAACCCAACCCGAAGTTGAGTTGACTGAACGCGGGCATACGTTGAAAAATATGAAACCAACTTGACTTCGGATTGGATTAGTGGCCGAGTCCTCCCTGAGTCCCTGACCCAGCCCAATTCTGACAATTGACAGAGAGCCTTGGGGATGAAAGTAGTTTCATAGATTGAGGGACTATCTACTCTTTTGACCACCCCCAATCCCAACCATGACGCCACGTGAAAGACTCCTTGCCAGTTGCCAGGTTTAAAATTCAAGTTACAGAAGACCTTAAAAATTCATGTTCCTGACCTCTGACCTGATACATGCCCTACGGGGGATACTGCCTCGTCAAGTCAAGTGTATTAGCAAGCTCTCATTTCACGTTAAATGGGTTTCACATATTCTCAATGCTTAATTAATGGCCAAGCTTTAGACTTTGAAATCATTCATAACTGGCTTGTATTATACATCAAACTTGGGATTCTTATAAGTGCTTATTTCACCTCATTTGAGAAGCTATAATTGTATAAAATTTGCAGAAGACTTTTTAATATCCCTCCCAAGTGAATTTCCAGAGTTTGCAGAGGTGTTTTCTCTCTTGAATCTTGATTACGGGTGGTGACTTTGAAAATGCTAGTATATTGTGGAAAGTTTAGCACCGTCCGAACAAAACTAACAGAACTTTCTGATAAAATTGGAGGAACCCAATGGACGTCATTCGCTGTTGCAGGATTATTTCTGCCACTTCTCTTCGTTTTTCTTCCCAACCATTCTTACTCCCAATCTTCCAAACTTTCTGTCTTCTTAGAACATCGATGGAGTTCTGGGCGGCCTAGCAATAGTTCTGATCACTACGCTGATTCCACCGATGCTCCCACTAGCATCAGCCACATTGTGTTCGGAGTGGCGGGTTCTGTCAACACATGGAGAACCAAGAAAAACTACATAGAAGCCTGGTGGAAACCCAACGAAACCCGAGGATTTGTCTGGTTGGAAAGAGCTCCAACGGATTACCTGCCATGGCCTTCATCCTCTCCTCCGTTCCGGGTTTCGGAGGACGTCGGAAGATTCAAAGAATTCGACAGACACAGGATGCGCCATGCGATTCGAATGGTTCGTGTGATCGCGGAAACATTCAGTGAGGATCACAAGGATGTGAGGTGGTATGTCATGACTGACGATGACACCGTCATCTTCATCGATAACCTAGTGGAGGTTCTCTCCAGGTATGATCATAACAAGTACTTCTACATCGGACATAACTCGGAGTGCGTTGATTCTAACTTCTGGAACTCCTACGAGATGGCATTTGGTGGAGCTGGATATGCTTTGAGTTACCCCCTCGCAAAGCTTTTGGCAAGCAACATGGACGAGTGTATAAAGAGATACCCTTTCCTTTTTGGGAGTGATCATATGTTACAGTCTTGTGTGGCTGATCTAGGAGTTCCATTGACTCACGAACGAGGGTTTCATCAGGTACCCATCTTGATCATAATTAGTTTTAATCTCCTGTTTATGTTAATCTTATTTCATTCAGGAGTTCCCACCAGCTGAGCTGAAATATTACTTGAGCCAGCTCCTTGATTGCTGAGTGGCATATCTCCGCAATTCTAGCTCAAAGAATAATGCTGTTTTGTGTTTTACAGATCGATCTAACAAGAGACATATCGGGCTTCTTATCATCCCATCCACAGGTTCCTTTTCTATCCCTCCACCACCTTGATGTTGTGGATCCCATCTTTCCCGCCATGGATCGTTATCAGTCCTTAAGACACCTAATGGAAGCTGCAAAAGTTGACTCGTCTCGTCTGTTACAGCAAAGCATCTGTTACGACAAGGAGAACAACTGGACCTTCGCCGTCTCCTGGGGCTACTCTGCTCAGATTTACCAGGAAATTTTCTATCCATGTACCTTACAGAGACCCATTGAGACGTTCAAATCGTGGAGAAACAAGGGAATACCACCTTTCATGCTTAACACCAGGCCTCTCTCCAACAACGCATGTGAAGCTCCACACGTCCTTTTCTTTGAATCCATAGAGCAAGCTAAGGGAGCCCAAATTATTACCAATTACATTCGAAAATCACAGCCAACTCGACAGCCTTGTTCGTCGAGCGGTAATCACTCCGCCAATTCGATGTTGAAAATTCGGGTCTCATCTCCGGCGATGAGGCTTAATGTGGTGAGTGAATCTCATATAGTTTCTCTGTTTGCAATATGGCTGTAGACTCACTCAACGCACGGTTCAGTAATATGGGCGTACGTCTTTCTGCAGGTTGGAACAAGGAGGGAATGCTGCGACGTTCTTCGTGGCTCTGGCACAAATGTTACCGAGCTTAAACTTAGGGCTTGCATGGAGGACGAAGTGGTCGCTTAATTAACCCCATACTAGAAGATTATACATAAAGCACTTGGATATGTATTGCTCAATTTCTTCGTGAAACTTGTTACTGTTGCTAATTTTTATTTTGAGAGATAAAACATGACAGGAATATTGTAAAATGAAAATAGTTCCTGTTCTGGCCCCTTTTTGGTGAAACAAAAATAGCATTCAATTTAAACAAAAAAGTACTATTTTAATTTTATTCTAACTTTATAATTATCCACCAATTCTTGGCCTGACCAATCTCTCGAAATGGGTAGCCAAAAAAAATCCATTAGAACTAGATAGGAAGATTAAATTGACTGCTCAAATCATTTTAGTCTTCCTACTTCTAATGGAAACAGCTCTTGTAACCCATGAAAATGGCTGCCCGAATCATTTGATAACACCCCTTACGCTTTTAAATAATTTTCAGGATAGATCCGCTCCTGACTAGTGACTACTAATAAATTAAACTCCCATATAATTTGATTTATCGGGTCTGATCTGATAAAATGTGATTTCAACTAACTAGCATTAAACTTGGGTTCATGCAAACAACATAAATTGTGAAAAACATTATATAAAATTTTGGGGGGTATTGGTGCAACAATAACCCCAGTTAACCCTCGAATAAGAATCAAACTCATACTCAGAATTGACCGCGACCCTATTCATAATCAGTAGCGTTGGCAATCTTGACCCCAACCCATTTGATCCACCCAATCCACACACCTTGGAATCCACCCATGCTATTGGATGGGTCAATATGGGTCGAGTAGGGGTGGGTATGAGCCGAGCTGAGCCGAATGGTAACAGGCTCGAGCTCGGCTCGAGACTATTTTACAAGGCTCGAGCTCGAGCTCAGTTCAAGCCAAAACCTTGAGCTTAAGCTCGGCTTGGCTTGACTTGTTTTATATTTTATAAAAATATTTTATAAAAATAAAAATTATATATAAATTTTTTATTTTATATTTAAAAATTTAAGAACTATAATAAATAATAACTATAATATTTTTATTTTATATATATATATATATATATTTGAGTTGGCTCGCGAGCCTCACGAGCCCAGCTCTAGTAGGCTTGAACTCGGTTGAAACAAAGCTGAGTCAAGCTCGAGCAACTTGTGAAAAGCTCGGCTAGTTGCCACCCCTAGGGTCGAGTAACCCATTAGGGTCAATGGAAAATGGTCAAGGTGGGTTGGGTTGAGGGTACCCAACTACCCATTAGGGTCTGGATGGGTTGGGCCAAAGTTAAACTCTATCTATACTCGCCAAATCTCAAAAAATAGCATGCCACATTTCACTTTGTGATTAAAAGTGAAATAAAATAGATTTTATTAACTTTTGTGTTCACATGCAATTTCACTTTGTGATTAAAAGTTAGGGTTTGGATGGTCTGCATCTCATTACAAATCCAAACCACCATACCACATTTCACTTTGTGATTAAAAGTGAAATACAATAGATTTTATTAACTTTCATGTTCACATGCAATTTTACATGAAATCAATTTTACAAAAGAATTTTATAAAAGAATTTTATGAAAAGTACTTTTACGAAAGCAGTTTTACAAAAATACTTTTACACAAAAGCACTTTTATAAAAATACATTTTACGAAAGCACTTTTACAAAAGAACTTTATGAAAGTACTTCTACGAAAACACATTTATGAAAGAATAAAAGCATTTTTATAGTACTTTTATGAAAGCACTTTTACAAAAGTACTTTTACACAAAAGCACTTTTACGGAAGTACTTTTATAGAAGTACTTTTGTAAATGTACTTTTATGAAAGCACTTTTATAAAAGTTATGCATTTTTTGCAAAATTTCTGCTATTTTCTACATTTTATGAAAATTTTTGGTAATTTTCTGCAATTTCTAGAAAATTTTGGTGTTTTTTTGCATAATTTCTGAATTTTCTAATGGTTTCATGCATTTCTTGCAATTTTCTGAGATTTTTTGCATTTTCTATGATTTTTCTGCAAAAGTTCTGCATTTTTTGTAAATTTCTGGTATTTTCTGCATTTTTTGTAATTTTTGGTATTTTTTTGCATTTTCTACAATTTTTCTGCTATTGTTTGCATTTATCTACAAGTTTTGCATTTTCAGGTATACGGGTTGACCTTTTTTTGTTATGTGGCTGTTTTGAAAGAGATGATTCTCTCAAAGGTGTTTTTTTTTTTTTTTGATATACGGGTTAACCCAACCCGTTTCTGTCATGTGGCAGTCTTAAGAGATGATTTTCTCAATTTTTTTTCAGACATACGGGTTGACCCGGCCTGGTTCTTTCACATGGCATCATTGAGAGAGATTATTCTCTAAAAAATTGTTATTTTTGGGTATATAGGTTGCCCTAACCCATTTCTACCACGTTATAGTCTTGAGAGATGTTCCTCTCAAAAATTTGTTATTTTTTGATATACAGGTCAACCCGACCCGTTTCTACCATGTGACAACATTGAGAGAGAGATGTTCCTCTTAAAAATTATTATTTCATGTGTACATAGGCCGTCCCAACCCATTTTTGTATTTATAGGTGAGGATAAATGGGTAAGTATGGGTGAGGGTGGTTAAGGGTCAATATGAGTGGGTCAAGGTTAAGGTGGATTATGATCCTTTTACAACAATTGATAGGCCAATATAGGTGGATTGGTATTCAACCTTACCCAACCCACCCTACCCATTTGCCACTGAGTCTGTTTTTTGTGGACTTGTGAAAGTGAACAATGGAGTGGAAGAGAACGCAAAGGATCCAAAAGTTGAATTTAGTTTCTTTTATTTGTATAACGATCCATAAGAGGGAAAGAAAAAGAATAAAAATTTAGTTTATTTTATAGAGGGTGTGAAGATGAACGAACCGAGCCAATTCCTCCTCTGGGCCGTGGGTGCAAATACAAAAGCTTGCAGAAACCCTACAAATTGAGATTCCAAGTATTAGTTGAAAGAATTCCAACTCAAGTATTCCTAAAATTGAACTGTCCTTAAGGTGAGGACAAGCAACTGCATTACTTTCCACTAAGACGTACGACGACTGTTCTCTATCAAATAGATGTATGGTTTGAGAAGACAAACATGCTTGCTAGCTCTGCACTACATCCTACGTGCCTGCAGCCTTCCAGTAGTTAGTAGCCATCAACCAAACTCTGATTATAGTTTGAGATTGTCCTGTTATATTGACTGAAGAGTCCAGTAGTGAGTGGCCATCGACTAGTCATTCTCCGTAATTTCTTTTCTCTTTGTCCTACTTTTCTGGTGGCAGAAGTATGGAAACTCCTCTGTCAAAGTCTAAATTACTCTTTTTATAGTTTTCTGTTTGCTCTTTTCAAATATTTACACGCAGAGGAACATAGAAGCTAGCCACGTGAATTAATATCTGCCTCTGGGGGTCTTAACTCTTTAGGTGGAGTGACGCTCACGGTTTCCGGGGTATACAGCTTCTAATTCTGACATGAAGAACGCTGTTCAGTCCATGCGCACGGCTGATTTCGCAGCATTGTCTTTGTGGCGCCTGCTCGATCATCAAATCATTACAGGTATTAGTTAGTTAGCTAGCTAATTACCAGTAAAAGCACTTAGATAATCCACGTGGCAAAATAGTGAGCGACAAGAATTCCATGTCACTGTTCACGTGGCCTGAACAGGAGCTTGCGTAGTGACAAAAGAAGTGAAAGAGACGGAGGAAGGTAGACGCAAATCTCACCGTCTTCCATTCGTCGGGCTCCAACTTGGGAGCAGAGACATTTACGGAGTGTACAGTCAATGCAGGAAGGTAGGAAGGTCGCTTACAGATCTTTGCATTCTCCCCCATAAATTTCTTATAAGAGGTCAGGGTCTGGCCGCCTTCAACCTCATCCTCAACCCGATCCAAGAAATAAATAAGAGGCCGATTACACGGTTGGCCACTCACGCGGCGGGTGTTGAACGTGAATGGTTGAGTACTCCTGCTCTTCCACGTCCGAAACGTCTGCAGCGTCGTGTCGAGCATCTTTGCCGTCAAGAAGAATGGATATATTTGGATGGTGTAGCCCCAAGAAACGGACACGGACCAGTTGCGCTCCAGGTCGTAACAGAAGCTTCGTTGTAGGGTTCGCCCCGGGTCCGCCTTGTACGCCCCCAAGAGCTTTGTCAAGGAGTCGCGCCGGTTGCTGGTTGGGAACAGGGGCTTCACGTAGTCGAGGTGGTGGAGAGACACCAACGGCGCAACCGGGTGTGACGCCAATAGACCGTAGGGATCTCCGCGAATATCGATCTGTCATTTGCACGAACAACAGAGGGGCAACTCAATCACACTAATTAGTCAATCACAATTCAGAAATCAGTTTCTTTTACTGAAAATTCTGCCCAAACACCTTCTAGGCTTTTTTTACTTTTCAATGTACGTTAGCAAAGAAGACAAATCGGGTGAGTTTGGCTTCTGTAAGGGCAAGCCGGTGCTTGCACCGTTCAAATCGGGTTGGGTGTTGGTAGTACGCAGTATGTATTGCATGGAGTAAAGGACAAGTGGCTCGCATCTAACTCGTTAAATTTTAGCAGGCCCATCTCAATAATGATCTATGCAAATCAAAAGCCCATTTACGCCAAGAAACTTTCTACAATGCCACGTGTCCTTGTTACTACCATCCAAAGTGCAATTTTGAGGATAAAGTTGGACGGTGCGGATGGACTTCGAAAATACATTTCCTCTCCGTCCGATTTCATCGGTTTACGATAAACCACAAGGACATGAAAGACGGCATATTATTCTCTAACAGAATGGAGAGAGAGAGAGATGTAAATGTAACCTGATGGAAACCAGCTTCTTTGGTGAGTGGGACCCCAATCTCGCTCATGCAAGCCTGGATCTTCTGATCAGAACCGTACAAAGAGGCGTATCGATCAATGCAGACGTCCAACACCTTAGCAAGCTCGGCAGCGAGAGGGTAACTAATGGCGAAGCCGCCCCCACCAAAAGCCGTATCGTACGAGTGTATTACGTTTTGTTCAACACTTTCCGAGTTCCCGCCAACATAATACATCTGATTGTGATCGTACTTGGATAGCACAGAAACCAAATTCTCCACGAAAAATACCGTATCATCGTCTCCCATCACGAACCACCTGACATTCTCCAGCCCGAGTCGGAAACTTTCTAACACGATTCGGGCGATACGAACAGCGGAGCGGGAGCCG